GTTTTTAGTTGTTGCTTAAAATGAGAATTTTATCATGTAAATTAGTCACAATGTCTTAGTTGTAAAGGTTGACACAATCACACCATCTTATGATTGCAATATGTAGTAGTCTTGTCAAACTATATTTACATGAAACAACCATAATATAATTATGATGGTAACATAATTGTGATCATAATTTAATCCTAGATCCTGACTATGAGATAAGACTATATCCATTCATTTAATGTGTTTATTTTTAATTTGTGGTCTATTAGATCTTTGGGTTAGTTTTACTAGATTTACATCATAAAAAAAATATGATATTGGATGATATTTGCATGTGAATTGAGTTGACAATAATTTTTTTTTTTTTTATGATATTTGTATTTACATCTAGTTTCTCTAAATTACTTGCCTTGAAGTATGTTTTCTTTTGGCTTTGATTGTTAATAGTTATATATAACTAACATCTACTTCCTTGAACATCAGTTCTTTGTTGAACAAGCATATAAATATCTAATATTTATTATACATTATTAGATTTATTGTTATAAGTATAGTGTTATTGGAATCTAACTATTTGAACTTGATTTCTTTGTTTAAAAAATAAGTAAATTATGTAGAATTTATTGTTCATTACAGTGTCTTGTTGGAGCTCAAGTTCCTTTGTAGGCAAGGATAATATTTATTCTACTAAAGTTGCTAACATCAAAATAAAATTGATGATGTTTTTTTATCAAATCAATTTTAATATCTAATTTGGTATGATTTTAACCATGATAAATTGTTCATTTTTATAGATTATCTGGCTGTTGATCACTCATTAGATTACAATTGAATTCTTCATGTCTAATTCCACTATAATAATAACATGGAAGACAATATTCTAAATTAGAAAAGAATCCAATTCTTATTCTTTTACCATTAAATAAAGAATAACATTATATTGCCTTCCTACTAAAGTGATTAATAACATTATCTTTATTCTCCCTCCACATGTTGAGAATGGACAAGATAAAAGAATGTGGCTCAGAGATAAAATGGGTAATTTCTCTATTTCTTCAACTTATAAAGATTGAATGGATTTTATGTGTTGAGAGAAGTAATTTGTTGATAACAATACAAAAGTTGCAAACACATGAGAAAGAACCTTGATTAATAATAGGATAATAAAGGGTCTTAATGGGTCATATTGTAATCATTGGTTTAACGTGTGTGAAACTATTCTTCATGTTATGAGGGACTATCCTTCATGTTATGAGAGACTCTCCCTTAACCAAATTACTATGGATGCATGTTCTAAAGATAAATGAGAGAAATAATTTATTTGATGAGAATTTTTTCATTGGATGCAAGTGAATCTTACTAGACAATTAGGATGTGAAAATCATATTTCTTGGTCTAGTGTATGGGCAACGTGTAAACTTTTATGGTAATGGAGAAATAATCAAGTTTATAAGCCTAGTTTTGTTTGACATGTAAACCTTAGGCGATAGTCAAAAGATATTGCATTAACTATATTGGCGCTTATGAATCAATAAAAAGAATGAATAGATTTGCAAAATTTTAGCTCGCATTGAATGAGGAAGTATTTACATGATCCTTAACATGGATGACTCTACTAAAAGATTGGATTATAGTGAAGAAGAGTATGTTGCTAGATTTAAAGGATTATTATGAGATGATACAATAAGATAGTTAGGTGACTTTGCAATAATTTATAGGTAATATGTCTGCATACATGACATAATTGTGGGGTGTGTATGAGGTTCTAAAATTTATAATGTGTAGAGATTTGGCTATGGTGGAATTTCACTTAGATTCAATGAATGAGGTTAGAAGTATTAGAAGAGAGATTATTAGGAGTGTTCGATATTGGAGGCTGGTTCAAGGATGCAAAAGCTTCTAAATCTAAACCGGTAGATGTAAGTGAATCATGTTTTAGGGAGACTAATAGGTGTGGTAATAATTTAGCCAACATGACTTGTAATTAGGGGATAAATTTTTTTTATAGATAGTTCTCCTTCTTAAATTAGTTGGTTGATTTTAGTTGATGTCATAGAAGTTTCATCTCCTTGTTTAATTCCTATGTAGTTATTTTTTTTTCTTAGGCTTTAAAGTCTTTTGATTATAAAAAAAATAAATAAATAAATAAATAACTCTTAAAGGACTTTTATATGCCCATACAATTCATGACCTTTGAAATGAAATTTTAGTATCCTTTGACAACATATAACCTGAAGTTCTTAGTAAGTTTCATTCAATTTGAGTTTTTAATCAACTTTACTAGTGTAATTAACGTAATGAAATCCCTTGACTTTTGACATAAAGAGAATCAAAGTAAAAATTACATGAGTTAGCATCTTCATATTATAAAATTCCATTTTTTAGAATTAGGAGTTAGTTTTCATTATATTTGTGATTGGTTTCTAAGAATAAGAGTCATCTCAAAATAATGGTTTTGGGCCAATTTTTTCATGTTCTAGCCTTTAAGATCAAATATAGTAGCATAAACTTGGTGGTAATCAAATATTTATTATTTCAACCATTTGATTAAGGAAAAATGTGGGAATATGATTTCATATGTTGCTATCAAAATTTATTTACAAAAAATATTTTCTCTTAATTACATTAGTAGTATAAAAAAATAACTTAAACTATCACAATACCACTAATTGTATTATATTATAACATTATTTAAAATATGAAAAAGTGAAAATTTGGGTAATGAAGCATTTAAACCAACCTTTGAGAAAATAATTCTAAGAATTTTTTCATAATTAATGTCATTAGTATCAACAAGCTTATTTACTCTCTTTTGGTATTCAAATTACTTGCATATGGGTTGTTTTTAAAGAAGTTTACATATCACACAATTTATTATGTTCATCATTTAAATTTGACTCAAATATATTTTTAGTCTTTGTAAAATGAGTAAGTTTTGGTTTTGGTCCCTATTAAACTTTTTCTTTATTTTTCATCCCTCTAAAATTTAGAATTACTTTTGTGTTAATCTCTACTATTGTTTTTTTTTAAGGATAATCTCTACTATTATGTATTATGTATTAATTACTTATATGTTTATCAAAAGGTTTCATGTGAAACTCATAATTGTCTATGATACCAATTCAGCATGTTACAATTCTAAAAAAAAAATTATAGATCTTTCAAAATAAATATTAATTATCTACCTTAAAATGAATGTTAGAAACCAAAAATAGTGATTTTAGATTTCTTAGAGATATTAAAATTAAATAAAAATATTTTATAGGGACCTAAATCAAAATGTGTTCATCCTTTTAGGACCAAAAATAAAAATTCCAAATTTTAGAGAGATGAAAAACAAAAGAAAAATTATGAAAATCAAATCAAAATTTGTTCAGTTTACATTGACTACAAACATATGTAAACATTTTTTTTATATTCATAATGACTAATCAATCAATTTATAATTATAGAATTTTTTTCCGTACACTCCTATTTTTTATTTTATCAAAGTATTATTTTATTTTATTTTGCAACCAAATTCTATAAAAGAATGATAAGATAAGATGTGCATATAAGCAAATAACTTATCACAAAAAGGAAATATTCATGATAATACATATAATTCAATTTTTTGTATCATTAATTTATAATTTTTGTTATTCTACATGTTCAATTAAGGCATCTTAAATATGTGTTGATTCCATTGTCAAATGCAATTACTTAACCATATTAGTATTGTGAAAGCATGTGCTATCTTAAACTAAGTATATATCTTGAAAGAGAAAATAGGTGATGCACTAATAGTGTAAAATAGTTTTACATTATCATCCAATTACAAATCATCCTTTATAATAAGTTGTTGACTTTATAATAAATAAGTAAAATGTCACATCAATGATAATATCTGATTGATTGTTAAAGTAAAATTATTTTACACTATCATTGCATGACAATCAAACTCATTTGAAAAGGCATGTAATGTTTTGTCAATGACAAAAGAAATAAGAAGAGAAAAATCATAGTTTATAAAATGCCAAATTCATGTGAATTTTTTATTATTATTAATGATTATCAAAGATTAATACATATAATAGAAGTGATTTTAAATGTGAAATTAAACCTCAATTTTACCAAATTACAAATACAATATTTAAAGTCGTGTTTTAGAATTCTACACATAGTTTGCACATATAAATATATCCATTTAAATTAGATGAAAAAATAAAGTCACATTCAGGAATCACATCTAAGCTTTACTAATACATCTATGATTTATATGATAATAAAGGAGATTATCATATTTTGAGTACACATTTCTTTTGGAAAATCTTGTTCCTTTAACTACCTTTAAAACTATTTTTTTCTCTCTCCATAATTTTTATTTAATTTTATTCCTTATTTTTTCTACTTTTCAAAATTTTCCCAAAAACTACCCTGCAACTACAATTAATAAAAAAAAACTATTAAGATTGTCAATAATTCACTTTTATTTTATTTTTTAAAAAAGATACAAAAAGGCACCAAGTACCTTTTTTACACTAGTTAACATGGAGCATAAAGTAAAAGTTGTTAGTGGTTCGACATTTGTGCTCCATAACTAAATACCAAGGTTTGATCTCCAACTTGGACATAAAATTGTGACTAGAGGTACCATTTTACTCTTATATGAGTTGGTGAGAAGGAGTTATACCTCCTTATTAAGAAAAAATATATAGCATCAACTAAGAATTAATAAATAAATTGGAAGAATACAAAATATTAAAATTGGTCATAAACTTTTATTAGAAATTGGGCAAGATTCCATTTAGACAAAGATAAGTTCCAAGAAAGAAAGATAAACACAAAGTAAGCACGATATTTAGTTGGTTACAACCATTGACTTCTAGCTTAATTACATAGTTTTTTGAGATGATAGGAAAAATTCACTCACGACGCT